AGAGGGAAATCTTCAATGCCACGTCATGGATCCGTGTGTTTTGACACTATTCGCTGTTCAGCTTCCGCCGAGACTTCAGATTGCTTTTTTTTCTCGATATCACTTTCCGTTTCGACAAAAAAAAAAGATAAAAACAAATAAATTTTTTGTAAATTAAACCGTATAATGTTATTTTTTAAAAATTTTAATTAATATCTTTATATATATATATGAAATGTTATCAAATTTATTTTAATTCAATGAGTATTTTTATTATTATATTTTGAAAACCACTCTAATCTTTATACTTTCTAACATGAGATTTTGAATCCCACATGTCCATTATATTCTTAATAAATTTATTATACAATAGTCACATATCTTTAAAAAAATGATATGGTAAAATATCAAAAGTTACTTATATTTTTTTATTAAAATTAATATAGAGTTGAAGTGTAATTTTTAAATTAAATACTTAAATAAATTCTCAAATTATATCAAAAAAGTCAATTTAATTTTTATCCTTTATTACATTTAAATAAATCTTTAAATTTTTATTTTTAAGTCAAATAAATCCTTCTCACTAATTATTAACTAATTCTTATTAATCAATAATACAATCAATAATTTTTTATATCATGTTATTTATCACGTGATATGTTGATGTGTCATCTTGATGACATCAATGACACATGACATCAAAAATTAGTAACTTAAAATTGAGTTTTTTCTCTTTCAAATGTTAACAAATTATTGATTAGAAATTTAAAATAAAAAATTAAAAAAAATAAATTGATTACTATCTTCTTAATTAAAGGTATCATTTATAACAAAACAAAAAAACTTAATTTAACTTTTTTAATTTAATTGATGCCACTGTTGTTTGATTGAAAGTTGAAAACAATTTTGAAATGAGAAAAAGTAAAAAATAAAAAACACAAGTTTATAATATTGAAATTAATAAAGATATATAATTTTTTTCATAATAAAAGAAAGTGGAATCATTCCTTTTTATTTCTTATGAGTTGTAAGGGAAATATAATATTCTTCTCTTCCATATAATCTGTAAAATCAAATCAAATCTTTCTCTTTTCTTCTTTAAAATCTGTAAGAAAAGTTCGATACTCATTTCTTTTTTAAAATTTGTAAAAAAAATCCAATGTTATTTTCTTGTTTAATAATAATAGATTCTCTTATCACAGTTTTTACAATTGTTAAAAATTTAAAACTACCAAAAGAATGAATTTTAGACAAGGAATAGGAATTTACACATATGAAAAGGATATTTTGATTATAGAGTACATTAGGTTTAAGAAATGTTGAAGAAAGTGAAGGTATTTTTTATTAAGAATAACGGCTTCAATTAAGAATATGTTAATGTTAAAAACTATTTGAAATATATTTTTTTTAATTTTTGTTTCAAATTTTTAATCAATAATTTTTACGCATTTGAATAAGTACAAAGGAAAAAACCAATTCCTAGTCAACAAATTTTCATACCATGACATCTATTACATGATATTGATGTTATTAAGGTTAAATGTTTACATGTGACATTAAAAATGATGTGGCATTAACTAATTTTTGTTAATCAATTGTTAATGTGATAAACTTATTTGATTTAAAATAAAAAATTCAAATACTTATTTAAACACAATAAAAAGATATGAGTTAAATTGATTTTTTTATATAGTTTGAAACTTATTTACATATTTAGATTAATTTTAACTATTTTCTTTTACTTTACAATAATGTTGAAAAAAGTTTTTTTAATTATGTTTAAATCAAAGGGCAATTAGCAAATGTGAAAAATAAAGTAGTTGGCCAATGATTGTTCACCCGTAAATTAAAATAAAGTTCAAGTTGTTTGACTTTAGAGTTCAAGTTGTTTGACTTTAGAATTCAAGTTGTTGCTGCCTTCATAGAACTAGTACGAGTTATTAAGTCATATAAAGAAAACACATGGAATAAATTTGTGGTTTATAGCTAACTAAAGACCGTCAATTTGCTTGCAATTTCGAAACCAACCAAATATTTTTATAATTATCTTTGGGCAGTCCGTCATTACTTCACTATAAAGATTGGTTGTCTTCTTATGGTTATTTAGTCAATTACAGTGCAAAAATAAGCTAAATGTTCGTAAATTGGAGTAAGATAAAAGAAGACTTTATATAATTCGTATTAAAAAAAAAACCTAAAAAATGAGTTTGAGGCACTCAAAGAATATATAACTCGTATAAGTGAAATATTGAAATATTTGATCGGTTCAATTTCAAAATTCAAATATTGAAATAATTATAAATTTTAAAATTCAAATGAAATTAATCTAATTATAATAAAAATTGATAAGTAATCAAAATTGACTTAAATATTCGTAAATAATCTTAACTAACTTATATTGATCAATTGGTTCTAATATTTATATTTTAAAAATGTTAATAATATTTATATAATATATATTTTATAAAAAAATTATTAATGGTATTTTTTTAACGAGTGTAGTTATAAATTTTAAATACTAAATATTAATTTAAATAGTCAAATAAATTATTCATTTCAATAGATTAATAATGAAATAAAAAATTAAATCAAATTTAATTGAATTCAATACGTTTCAATTAATTATTTTGTTTGCATCGATTAATATTCACCCTCAGATCTCACCTCATAGCATATCAACCCATGAACTCGAATCTAAACTTAATTCAGTTGATAAGAGTTCGATTTAGGGACAGAATAAATATATATATATAAAAAAATTGTAATAAATGCTAAATGCAGCAAAAAATTAGAAGCAAGTTAAGTCCCTTGTTTCACGAAAAAGTAATAAAGGAAAATAAGAAATAAATCCTTGGATTTTGTTCTCGGTTATAGTATTATATAATATATAGTATATACTCCACATATATAGAGTTGAAAAAATTTTAAAATTTCGAATAACTATTTTTCGGTTTTTCCATTAAATGAGGAAATAAACCTTAAAATGAAAAAGTGAGAAAAAATAAGGGAAGAAAAAGGTTTCAGGCTCTCTGAATTTAGCGACAAGATCCACTTCCCTCTCTCTTTTCATCGTCGTCTTCCATATCCCTGCTCCTAACTCGCCACTCGGACTCGACGCCGCTGCTGCCGCCTCTTCTTGCTTCGTTCACGATATCTGGCTCTTCAGCGCTCTTGTTGCTTTCTTTGACGGTGAGGCATCTGTTTTATTTTTTCGTTGAGTTACCGATGATTTAAGCACTCTGATTTTGAACGGGAATGAAAAGAGCCTCCTAATAATATTAATTTTGAGCGGCTTGGTTTTGAAGGGGAATGAGATGATTTCAAAAATTTGCCTTGAAAAATGGTTAACTTATACGTGTGTTGGCTTTTTTTAATTTCAATAAGTTTCATTGTTTTTGGTTGATTCCCGATTTGGCAGCGATGTTCGTCCATGGAAAATTTTCATGTTAGTTGTCTTTAAATTCCAATATTTTCATTTTTGACTGATTCCCTAATTCCATAGCCATGGTCTTTGCGGTGCTCCCGTGGAACTGGTGTCTGGTTTTTGAATTTAGGTGATTTAATCGTATAGGTCTATCTCCTAGTCCTAGTAATAGGTTTTGCAATATCTATTTCCTCCAAACAAGATGAGGCAACTTATTTTCCTTTTCTTCAAACTTTCCATGAACCAAACAGAGCCTAACAGAAATATGGGCGAAGGAGAGACACTAGAACAAAGAAGATCCCTGGCAGCTCCTCTCATCTTCTTCATTATCGTCGTCTTCCAATTTGCCACCAAATGGCTCCAAGATTTAAAGAAGGTACCTAATTCCGCTTGATATTGTCGCATCAAGTTGCTTCATTTGAAGATTGTAAATTCTCTTGCAATTTTTCAAAGTGTTAATTAGATTTTCTTATTTCATGGTTAGGGAGCATCCAAGACTGACAAGGAAATCCAGCTTCGTGGAGAGATTAAGCAGCTTTTGAAAGAGGCTGCCTCCTTGTCGCAGTAAGTGATTTAAATATCATTTAATTCCATTAATCAGCTTCGCAATCACAATTGCATGATAAACAACATCAATTTCACTTCATAGGCCATCTACATTTGCACAAGCAGCTAAGCTTAGGAGGTCAGCTGCTGCCAAGGAGAAGGAACTGGCAAATTGTGAGGCTACTTTCCTATTTTTTTACATTGCATAAACTTATAAGAATTTGATTCTTTGAACAATCTTCTTGTGGTGTCTTGGATTTCAATCTATTTTTTGTGCCAATTAAATGATTGATTGATATGGAGATTGATTAGGACTGTGGAAAAAAGTTAAGTGTTCTAATTTTCTGGACTATTATGTTGTTAAAGTGTGTTAGGGAAACCCTACCATGTATTTACTGGTAAATTTAACAAGTATATTTAATCCTCAGAGATGAATGAGGTCTTTGATTTCATTTGCTACATACTACTATTTTAAGTCAGGAAAGAGCTGGTTTCAATTGCTTTAACCTTTAGTATTGGTATTTTTTCACGTTCTTCTTTTGTGGTTAATATGTTTTTCTTTTCTTCTTCAAGAAAGAGAGCTTTGTCTTGTAAACAGCCATGTCTTGTTTGCTATAGTTTAGTTACTTCTTTTGTTTTCTTTTCCTTTTCTTAAGCTCTTTTCCCCTTAAGTTGTTACTTGTATATAGCCTGAACTGATAGAAGCAACACTTGATGTCCAGATCAGGCACAACACAGCAAGGAGGTGAAACTGTCTTATGACTGGTATCTGAAAGTTTTGTTCATTTTAAAGGTGCTTCAGTATGTAATGAAACCGTTTAGAAGTTTATTAATGTTTCTTTCCTTCATTAATGTCCTAAGAGATTGGTTGTCTGGTCATGCAGGTCATAATTCATCTTGTGCTAATCTTCTGGTTTTGGAGGTCTCCTGTTGCTTCTGTATCTCAGCAACTTGTGCAACCCTTTGGTAATGCATTATAATGATTGTGGCTATTGTTGTGTTAACTGTTAAGCTTTTAGCTCTTTTTTCCACTTTGACTGTGTAACTACAATTTTGGTAAACATGCTTGGGCTGACACTCCATCATACTGCCCATCATATTTGGTATATTCTTAACAACGTACTCCCCAAATTGGGTAAAAGTATGTCCCTGGGGCCAGAAAAGAATTAAGTTAGACAAGAACAGAAAGAGTTGACAAGAAGCAATTGGAGGACAAAATATGAATTGTCGAATATCTGAGAAAAAAGGTTGTTTATTGATTGCTTATGACCGCCTTTTTGCAGGGAAGATGTTATCCTGGAAGACTGCGGGTTCTTTAAACAACAATGTCATGGTAAAAAATCTTTGAATCTTTCGTTTGTAGCACCTCTAATCATAATTTTAATTTCTTTCTTCTATGATAGAATAGGATTTGGATTCCCTGTCTGGTTTCCTTTTTCTTATCCCGATTGTTTTGATTAACATGGCCTATCTACAACCTACATGGAGATGTAGTACTATTGAGCACAAATATATTACCTTGATCAGACTTGCCTCTGCCTTATACGGAATAAAAGGAAACAATTATGGCAAGATGGATTTGATGAGTTTCGATTGGTTCTGTTATTAATCTTCTAAATTGCAGGTTGGGATCATACCCTGGTTGATTTTGTGTACCAGGGTTAGCAAGTTTGTTTGCCGAATCATCAAGTAGAACAAAGGGCTTATAAGGAAATGCCTTTGGGTGCTCTCCGACTTTGGATTCATGAATGCCTAATCAGGATGTACTTTTAATTTTGAAGTTGTGAACTAACATCTCTTGTAAAATTCATTCATTTTATTTATCAAGAATGAAAAGCGAGAAATTTGATGTGCTTTTTGCTTCCTCTCTTTTACTTTTTGCCCTTTTTTTTTCCTTTAAATTTCAATTATATATGTATATATATGGCATTTAAATTTTTAATATTAAAATTGATTCATAGGAGTATTGAGCTTTGAATTAGTTAATACTACTTCTATGGTCTATTTGTTTAAGGTAAAAAGAAGATGCATCCGAAAATTTGAATTAGTTATTGATACGTAACTTCGTCTATTCAAAGGAGACAGAGCCACCTGAGGTAGAACTAAAAGAGAAAGCATGATTTTTTTTTAATTCATAGAAAAAAGGGAAATTAAAAAAAAAAAACCTGATTTTGAAGTTGAGCAGAACACGGGGGGCCGGAAAATGCTTATAGGCCTATTCACTAGGGATGGGCCTTCGGTTCGCGTAACATTTGAAAAGGCCTAACGTGCATTTCTAGAATCCAGACTTCTTTCTCTGTTCAAGGTTCATTTGATTTCTTCTTCTTCTTCTTCTAACCGGCACCGGGGATTAACTGTTAGCAGCTTTTTTGTAGTTTTAACTCCCTCTTTGGGGATTATTTTCTATTCCCATCTTGTCCCTTTTTCTCGCATCATCTGAGCTCCAAAACAAAATCACTGTCCCATCTCCCATCTTGATTATTTTGATAATTCATTCTTGTTGAATTTTGGGATATTTTTATTTTAGCAGTAGTGACTGAGTGTATACTAGGTTCAGTGTTTGGGGTGTAAGGTGGCGCGAAACAGCGCGCCTTTTTGGAGATTTAAAAGAGGATTTTTCTCTGCTTTGGCTAGCCACTTTGCAAGCTTTGCTTCCCTCCACTAACCAACCATGAACGACCTCCACCCTACCCTCCCATAGATCCAACTACCTTCGACCTGATCGTTATAGGTACGGCCTACCTGAATCCATCGCAGCCGCCGCCGCCTCCACTGCCTCAAAATCCGTCCTCCACCTCGATCCTAATCCTTTCTACGGCTCCCACTTCTCCTCAATCCCTCTTACCAGTCTATCTTCCTTCCTCTCCTTCCACTCAACGTCACGCTCACCCTCGCCCTCATCCAACGGCCATCACGATTCCACCGTCTTGGATTTCGCCACTCGTCCTCTCTACTCCTCCCTCGACATCTCCAATTTTTCCCCTCAACTCCTCGATCAACACTCGAGAAAGTTCAATATCGATGTGGCTGGACCAAGGGTTCTCTTTTGCGCCGACAAATCCATCGATCTGATGCTAAAATCCGGAGCCAGCCAGTACATGGAGTTCAAGAGTATTGACGCCAGTTTCGTAGGGGACGACAAGGGGAACCTCTGGGTGTGCCGGACTCGAGAGCCGCCATATTTAAAGACATGAGCCTTGGGACTCATGGAGAAGAATCAGTTGATGAGGTTCTTCAAGCTGGTGCAGGGACATTTGGCTGGCGAAGAGGGCCTCAAGATTTCGGAGGAGGATTTGGAGAGTCCGTTTGTTGACTTCTTGAATAAAATGGGATTGCCGCCCAAGATTAAATCGTCTGTTAGTCACAACTTTTCCTTTTATTTTGCAATGTCTCGTCGTTGCTTTAATCATTGGCCTGATGCTCATCTGCAGGGATTTTGTTTTTGCTTGACTTTGCAGGTTTATACTGTATGCAATAGCAATGGCGGATTATGATCAAGAAGATGTCGGAGTTTGTCAAGATTTGCTCAAGACAAAAGATGGAATCGATCAACTGGCTCTATATAATGCTTCCGTTGGCAGGTTAATCTTTATTCTTTCTGCTTTTACTTCAAGCCTTCAACTAGAGTTTGAAAATTTTCAGTGCCATGTTGAATAGAAACTTACTGTAGCACAATGCATCTAATTTTGTGTTAAGTACAATTATTTTTATCCCTAGGTTTTCAAATGCACTCGGGGCTTTGATATATCCTGTCTATGGGCAAGGGGAACTATCCCAAGCCTTTTGCCGTCGTGCTGCTGTCAAAGGTTGCCTTTATGTAAGTTCTAATGTGGAGATAATTCTTTTCATTGATTACATTGAATGCAGTTGTTGATGCATTTCCTGCCATTGTAGGTGTAACTTGTTCATTGTCTTCATGTTAACTTGATTTTGTTTTTAAACTTTACCTTTCGTTTTCCTTGATATGGTATTTCTTACTTATTGATTTTAATGTGGTGTGATTGGATTGAGTTATTTGATGTTTAAAAGCTTGGTTGTTTACTACCTTCTGTCAATGGAAGCCATAAGCAAGCAAATTAATTAAAATTTTGTAGAAAATCTCCAGAAAAAAGTAGTAATAAATGTTTGAGTTCAGAATGGTGCCTTCACTTGCCAATAACTTCAACACAGTAACTCATCAAAATATCCTCCTCCTATGTCCTAGTTGGAATATGTAAAACGAGTTTATCCAAGTTGGTTCTCTTCAGCAATAACCTTGCATCTTTTAGTTGTTTGAATGCATTTCATTTCTCTGAGCATGCCCTTCACCTTGTAGCAATAGAGTGGCTCATAACATCCATCAGGGCAACCACATCAACCTGATTTTACGTGAAATTTTCATGTTTTAGCTGTAGAATTAAGATACTAATCTGTGTCTGAATGAACATGACACAGGTATTGCGTATGCCAGTTACTTCATTGCTGGTGGACAAGGTATGGAAGCATACCCCTGATTAAATTATTTTAAATAATACTGAGCAGACTATCAGGAATCATTAGGGTAAATGAACTTCATATTTTTCATTTGAAAATTTTACAGGATAGTGGGTGTTATAAGGGTGTTAGATTAGCTTCAGGTCAAGATATATTCAGCAAGAAACTAATCCTTGATCCATCCTTTACGGTACCTTTGCCATTGGGCTCACCCTCACCACATCCACTGCAAGAAAAGCTTCCTCTTTTCAGTCTTAGGGATGATAGAGGGAAGGTAGCAAGGGGAATATGCATCACAAAGACTTCTTTGAAGCCAGACGTATCAAACTTTTTGGTTGTATATCCTCCAAGATGTAAGATCAATTTCTTTTTGCATTTGTTGTAGACAAGAAGCTAAATAGAAAAGTCATAATTTTTTGTTTCTGTTTTCTCCTAGCATTGTTTCCCGAGCAGGTTACATCAATCAGACTCCTGCAGATAGGTAGCAATGTAGCTGTTTGTCCACCAGACATGTAAGTTTGCTTGAGTTATTGAAGAGGATAAGTTCTATCTGTTTGTTTGACATTGATGGATTTTATCAGTTGTTATTTTTTGCTTCCTTGTTGAATTGCTTTCCTCATGGTTGTTACCTTTGAGCATGTCTTTTCTGATCAATTCTCTGACTGGCTACTTAGCATTTAGGTATATCGACCTTAGGGCATAAAATTCTTTTCATTGATTATGATACTCAGGTGAATAGTGAAATTTACCATTATTATTATTTTTCCTTGGTTGATGTTTTCCACAATTTTATGCATTATCAAAATGGAGTGATTCAATTTTATATGTTTAGTGCAAGGATTTAAATATTTCCACCTGTTCTATTCAGGTTTGTGATATATATCTCGGCATTATGTTCTGATGATGATGAAGGAAAGAAGTTACTTCATGCAGTCATGAATACTCTTGTTACCCTTCCTGTTTCTACAAATTCTGAGAGCAATGCTGCAGTTCAAAGTAAGACTGCAGAAAGTGGTGGTGCAGCTCAAAATGAGACTGCAGAAAGTAGTTTCACCGTTCAAAATGACCTTGGAGAAGGAAAACCTACTTTACTTTGGAGTGCATTGTATATTCAGAAGCTTACTTTGGTATGTTGCCAATGGTGGCTTTTTCTTGTGTAGATCTTCTTAGTTACTAATATTTTGGTATTGTGACTATGGGCCATCATTTTATCTTGCTGCTTTCCTTTTTTTCGAATAATTATCACACTCTTTCAAGAAATGTTAGAACCTAGGACAAGCTTTTGGAGGGATGACACATTCTGCCGTCATAATACTAGGCTATGGACATTTGTTAATATGCAGCATTAATGTGAATATATGGTGACTGTAATGTCCTTTTAATATATTTATATTTTGTTTTCAGGGTCAAGTTGATTTTATCTGTTCAGGTCCCATGCCAGATGGAAAATTGAACTACAATGATCTTTTAGATGCAACTGTTAAGGTACAGCATTTGCTAATATTTATGAAATTTAAAATTCTAGTCTGCTGTGCATGAGCGTGTTTAACTGATCTAATCATTGATCTGTTACAACTTGCAATTTGCTTGTTATTGGGTTTCTTTGTTTGAATTCTATTCTACTTCTTTGTTCTTTGGGATGAATTTTCCATTTCATTCAAAGCTAAGTGAACTTAAAAGTGTACTGAAATTACAGAAATATTACCATTTCTGATTGCTGACTAGAATGTAGTGTTGGTTGTCGAATTTGACAGTTATTTCAGGAGATTTACCCTGACGAAGAATTCTTTCCGGAGACATCCACCTCAGAAATTCCAGAGGATGATGGTGGCGTTGCCCTGGAGACATAGAGATTCACTGGATGCAATATTCTTTCCTTAATGGAGCATCAAACAACCGGGATTCTTTTCCAACATTATGCTCAATTGATTGGAGAATGCTGCTGTCTTATGATCTGATGATGAAGAAAAAAGTCAAGGGATTTGACGTTACATACAAATTACACACACCATGGTGAGGAAACTTAAGAATTCGCCCGTCTTTACAGATAATTACAAACTAACTCTAGTTTTGATTTCCCTTGTATAAACTTGTGTTGTATTCTACTCTCTTGGTACTTAGATAGTTGTGATGTAACAGTTAAAAGAAAATACATTTTAAACTGTTCCCAAAACAGGACAAAATGTTGCAGTAGCAGTTATGAAGACGGAAGAGTATTGGTCGTTGCATTTGTCGTTTCCCTACGCATTCTAGTCAAATCTTTTATGTATTCATCTACCGATCTTTTTTTCATTTACGTTTTCTGTTGAGATTAAGGATTTTTGTAATTGGAAAGTTACTGAAACGCAGTCCAATTCCTAACTTGCCGTGCCACTTTGCAGACATGCGGCCAAGGTCCCAGGGTAGTTGGTGAGCAAAGTTGGTTTGGTGCCTTCTTACTGACATAAGAACCCCTGGGCCGTCCCTCAAAAACAAAATTAACAACTTGTGGGGAGAAAACATCATAAACAAAAACCAAAGAAAGAGTAAGGAGTGACTTTACGAGTGTATTTAGATGCTTTACATACGACAGAAAATAGAGACTTGGGATTCTTTGTTCCAAATCCAACGTTGGTTCTCATTTCTCAACATTTCAAAACAAAGCTAGAGTGACTACATTGTTTACAAGGTGTCCTAGTAAGGTTTGTTTTGCTATCTATGCTTTGAGAAGAAAAAATGGTACACGAGAAGCGTTCATTGGTGTAGCATTTTGCTATATTGATTATTCGGCAACAGTCCAACAGAATATCCTGGGAACAGTTAAAGGACAGGCCCAAAAATGATTTTCTTTTTCTTTTCCTTTTTTTTTTAGATAAGGAAATGAGAAAACAATTTAAAATACGGGAAAACGAAAAAGAAAAAAAAAAAGAAAACCATGGTCCATTGCTGGAGCCCGGTAGTAGGGTCATGCAAACTTGTCCTTCTTGACCGGTAGACCTTCAAATTCTGTCTTGCTGTCCTTTTCAAATTCTGGTACTTTATCCTACGTTAGATTGATGATCTCTTCTTCTTCTTCATGGAGTTGTCTCAAGACCCCTTCTCTGACAACTCTCCTGGTCTTTGAAAATACTAACAACAAAGGTACTTAATTCCCTTCTGCCTTATCACCAAAAAAAAAAAAGAATGGTATATTTGGTAGTGTTTCTTTTCTGGGCTTAGTTAAAGTCTTGTTTCCTTTGCTTGGCTTCTGTTGGCGTTCTTTTGCAGAGTTGATCAGAAGCTTGCATGTATACCGATTGGAGAATGGGGAGGAAAATGAGGTTGAGAGAGAATTTGTGTTCAGAAAAGATGGTCCCTATGTGGAAATGGCAACATCCCCACTTCTTCGATTGCAGGGGCTTCGACTTCTGGAGCATTTTGAAGGCAGAGTTATCGGTTTGTGGCTTTGCGTTTTTGCATTTCATGCCCATCGTCTACCTCGCTTCTTCTTCATTCCTTCTGTACTCTCCATTTCCAGGTACTCTTTTGAGGTGCTCCTTTACTAGATTGATTGATTGATTCAATGAAATGGGATTAATTTTACTTTTATGCCAGGATGATTAATCTGTGACATGTGCATGCAAAGTCTGGTTTTCTTTTATATGATTAATTCAATGCAAAAGAAAGTTTTTGCATTTTAATTTGATTATTTGGTATTTCAAAATAGAAATATTCATTGAATATTGGGATTAAGAGGCTAGAAAAGATCAGAAGAAGCGGGTATCGGACCTCAGAAGCACATCTTATGCATCCAGATCACAATAACTTTTACATCATTATTGAGTCATGTCACTATGATGTTTCACTTGTGCTTTCAACCTACTAACAGGAAATCAAAGTAGAGTCAACAGGAGCGTGGTCCCCAATAATAAAATCTGCATTGATTGGCAACTGTCTCCTGAGAGCCATTATTTTGCATTAGTTGATGCGTCTCAACAAAGAATTAGCCAATTAGAGGGTCTTTAATCGATTGAAATGTGGCATTCGTTTCTTATCATTTCCCTGTCATGTTGGTAGCATTGCTTTGCCGTATTAATGTCTAATCATATCATGAATTCCATATAGATACTTTTTCTTCTTTTGCTTACAAATTCTTTTAAAGTAGTGATTGTGTTTTGAGTGGCATTTATGTGAACATATCAAGAAACTTCTGCGGGACAAAATACCAACTTACTAAATGTGCTGAACAAAACCGGGTAGAGCATGTATCAAGGAAAAGACTTTCATTGCCAAGAGTATGATTGTCCCATGTTTGATACTTTGATTTTTCTAAGTTGGCCTTTCACCCACCTGGCTTTTCATTATCAAAGACTTTTAACATGAAATGACTCAGTCTCCTCTCTAATCTGAGCCATACTTTATTAGGAAGTGCATATTTCGTAACTTATACCATGTTTTCCCAAGTCTATACAAAGAGTTTTGACGTTCCTAGCTTTCATTTTGTCATCATGCAGAAATCCCAAGCTGAAGTCTATCCCAACACTGGCCAATGATCTTCAAGTGATTTTCCAGAGGGGCTGTGGCACACAAGATAGAGGACCATCCAGGAAGTCATCTAAGGAATCGTGCACAAGGGATGCAGATAATTACTGCCAGTCAAAAAGAAGTCTGCTTGTACTTGATCAAGATCTTAACTGCCTCCCTAATTCAATTGCTACATCTGAATTACTGAAATCTCAACATACTGAACAAGGTGCAACAGGTCCTTTTAGAGTTTCCTCTTTTTGGTAATTGTACATGAATAAGAAGTCCATATTCTGTAACGATGGATTTACTTTGTGTTTATAAATCTTCATAATTGCATGAACCGAACTTCTGTGGACTGTAAATTGGATCAATGTTCACCTACAATCATGCAGTTTATTGTTTATATGCCAAGAACACTTGAACAAAATGTTATTCATTCCTCATACTTTTCTTTTCCAATTACTTGTCATTCTCAGATGGATTCATTAGTTAAAGCTGCTCCTGTTGATGCATAATGATATATTTGTTCTGTTAAAAGCAATTTACTAGCTGTCTAGGAAAATACATGGGAGATTATTGGATGCTATAGAACATAGCTAATCTATTAGGTTTTCAAGAAACAGATTATTCTAAGGATTTGTTTTTGCATGCATTCCTATTTAAGATTTAGATTTGTCTGTGTCTATTAAACATAATGTCTAAGAAACTGAGGAAAAACTGCAGGTGTTGCAGTGAAAAAGAAAAAGAGAGCAGACTCTAAGGACATAGCCAGAATTGCTCTTGAAGATCTTGCAAAATACTTTGATCTTCCAATAGTGGAAGCTTCTAGAAATTTGAATGTTGGACTCACTGTTCTGAAAAGAAAGTGCAGAGAATTTGGTATTCCTCGCTGGCCTCACAGGAAGATCAAATCCCTTGATGGTCTAATTCGTGATCTCCAGGTCCTTTCTCTTTCCCTTTTGCTGTCAAATTGCCTCCATACACACCGCATATTGCATATGCTGCTAGCATGCAACCGGTCTGCTTTTATCCATGTACATTTATATACTTACTTGCTTACAAAGAAAATTATACTCAGTTATATGGATGTCTGCTTCTTGTTTTTTTTTTCTTCTTGAAACAACTGAAAACAAAAACTATGCAGGAAGAGGCAGAGCAGCGGCAGCAAGAGGATGAGGCTGCAGCCTTTGCTGTAGCAAAGAGGCGAATGATGTTAGAGACTGAGAAGGAAAGTATAGAAAGAGAACCTTTTATTGAATTAAAGAGTGAGACGAAGCGGTTCAGGCAGGATATTTTCAAGCGAAGACACAAAGCTAGAGCTCTTAAAAACCAGTGCCTATGAGTTTTGCACAATCCAGTGACGGAATTAGACGGTAATACATAGGACTATATATACTGCTTACTTGACCAAGACCTTTTAACTTAGAGACTGCAGTAAGATCAACACTTCCATATGTGCACTTTTGCCTGATATTGTTGTAATGCACTAGCACTAGGAGTAAGTCGTTATAAAGTTGCTGTTACATGAAGGTTCACTAATGCGTCATAGGTACTGTTCCCCTTAACCAGTCACTTTACCTTCATCCATTGCTGGTGGTTATTGTTGCCTGGGTATCATGTTGGCTTGAATAGTTACCTTTGATGCTATATATATATATAAGGAAAGGACCTTACATGTGGGAGTTTGACAAATATATTTTGTGGCTCTATAAGGAAAGAAGCCCAGCACCTGGTTGATCCCATTATCATCCATATGTCACAAGGAAAGTATCTCTATCCCACATCGGATAAGAACAGAAGGTCTTGAGTTTTTTATAAGCGGGTGTGTTGTACACTTCCATAAACGTGTTTATAGAGAAGAGAGTAATGACCCCGTGACAAGTGGTATCAAAACGGATCGGACCTCGTCTGACTCACGTCAAGGGCCCGGACCTAGGGAGACTCAGGGTAGGTAAGGTGGCTGACGGACATTGTTGGAATCGGGTGGGAGAGAGTGTCACGAAGAAAATGTCTCTATTTCACATCGGATAGGAACGAGAGATCCTGCACACTCTCATAAGCGCTTTTATTGAATTTTAGCACTATATCACATTTCTGTATAATCGAATCCGTTGTTGAAATGATGACTAGGAAATGGGCGTATTGACAAAGGATACGAGGTCAACTGTTCTGTGCGTTTTATTGAATTTTAGCACTATGTCACATTTCTGTATAATCGAATTCGTTGTTGAAATGACGACTAGGAAATGAGATTTCTGTATAATCGAATCCGTTGTTTGAAATCGGGTGGGAGAGAGTGTCACAAAGAAAATGTCTCTATTTCACATCGGATAGGAATGAGAGATCCTGCACATTATCATAACCGTTTTTATTGAATTTTAGTACTATGTCACATTTCTGTATAATCGAATCCGTTGTTGAAATGACGATCAAGAAATGAGATTTCTGTATAATCGAATTCGTTGTTAAAATGAGGACTAGGAAATAGACGTACCGACAATGGATACGAGGTCAATTATTTTGTGTGTTCATGACGATGATGATTCAATTGGACATTACTCCAATTAAATAATCCCTCACCTTTTTCTCTTCTATGTCTCCTCGAATATATTATAATGCCAACACGTGTTTCATGGAAATGTTTGAGTTAAAGTCATTGAGAGATAATATACATACGGAATCGGTACCCCGTGACTCTAGCTGGGCCGTGTCTGGGGAGAGAGAGGACAAGGGAAAAAGGAAGGAAATGACCAATGAGAGAGCAGAAGTCATTCTTTAATTGAGGTTGGAAAATTCTTTTAGCTGGTGCGGAAGATTTACTTGCTCATAATTCCTTTTGTGTCCCATTTTCTTCAAGATCGATACTGGCAAAGGCAATTAGTTGCCACGCAATGAGGAAACTGTAGATGTAGGAGAATAATGATTGAGTCGATAAAGAAATTAGAAGCCATGAAAGAATTCAAAGGTTTTGGGGTTGGGACTTGGGGAGGAGAAGAGCAAGTTCCGAGGTGGTGTGGAGGGAGAATTCCATCATTC